TAACATTTGAACAACACGGCAATCTGTTTTAGCTGGGAGGAAAATAAAAAGGTGAAAGTCCCTCACGCATGATGAATAACAACCTCTTATGTTAAGTGTAAACAACTTCTTTTCTTTGTGATGAAAATAATAAAAATGTAAAGTTTTAGTCTATTTTAGAGAGTTCCTAAGATTCCACGACTGTCGGCAAGTCACAGCTACAGCCTGTCTAAATTTACTTTATCCAGATTATCTTTGTTTTATTCTGCAATTTTAAGGTGAAATATAAAAAAAGTGATGAAAGGAATTATGTATTACTAGTATTAGGTTACCGTAGCATAGCTGCCTGGCTTTTTCAAAAATAAAAATGTAAGAACAAATAATTTATCCATCCATTATCTTTACCTGCTTCAACCTTGTCGGGTCGTGGGGATCACTGGTGCCCATGTCCAGCTATCACTGCGAGAGGTGGGGGGGGACACCCTGAGCAGGTTGCCAGTCTATCACAGACTAGTAATTCATCAATCTATCTATTATCTTTACCCGTTTCTTCCTTTTACTGTACTTGCCGCCGCACACGTCTTTCTACCGTATAAGTTGCACCGCCGTATAATTCGCATCAGTCCAAATATGTCTTAATAAAGGGGGGAAAAACAAATACGTTGCTTCGCTGTATAAGTCCCAAAAGTCCCAGGTTCGATCCCCAGTCACTGCACATCACGTGGTGTCTTTGGGCAGCACACCTCATCCCCAAAATGCCTCCCGGGTGCTTTCAATAGCTGCCCACTGCACCACCTGGTGGTGGATGGGTTAAATGCAGAGACATTTCGCCATTGTATGGAAACATACAATGCTGACATTGTGAGGACATTATTATTATTATTATTATTATAAGTCGCATCTATTATGCGTTACCGCTGACCACCCAGAAATGTGGGCTGGCGTTGTGCCAAAAATCGATTGGCTGCCAAATGGCGGCCACGGGAGCATGCATGGGAGGTCTTTAACAAGAATTTAACAAGATTAACATTTTAAAACAATTATTTGTTTGCTCAAAATTCTAGCAAAGGTGTGTCTCAGTATAACTTTTCCTTAATAAATGCACTTTAACGGTAAAATCAGCTGCATTTCAAAAGCTGATTCGCTACCGTGGGAGCATGCACAGGAGGACTTTAACAAGAGTTTAACAAGATCAGTGTTTCCCCTACCATTATACAAGCGGGGCGCCCCGTCAACAGAACCAAGTGCCCCGTCTACCAAACCCCCACCCCCCAACCACCTGTCAGCACTGACGTAACGCTAAACTAGTGGCTCGCAATACAGGTGTGCTAGCTAAAAGCTAAAGGCAGCCTCTTCTTTCATGCTGAACCCTCACGCTGGGCCCCCCCCCCCCCCCCCCATGCCAAGCGCCCCGCCATGGCAAGTCATCTAGGCGAAACACTGACAAGTTTCACTTTTTGAATGGAATTACTGAAATAAATCAACTTTTTTTTTTTTTTTACAATATTCTTATTTTATGACCAGCACCTGCATTTCAAATGTACTTTTAATCACCTTGTGTGATTTATAAGTGCATTAAGTGCAGGATCATTTCTCATTTAATTAGTAGATCCCACACCGGGGTCAGCTGAGCCTCGTCATCCTCCTCCCTGCTCCACAGTGATTCACACATCAGATTGTTCACAAAAGCGCAGGAACTTATGCACAGTGCAAAACTTTAATTATGTTTGTGTTTTTTAATAAAATTGCCCATGACTTTGAACTTTTAGGGGCAGAGATTTTTTTTAAAGAGCAGAAGCAGAAATGAGAAGGAACAGCTCTGATGTGAATTCAAAAAAGTTCAAGACAAAACCAGCTCTGATGTGATGTTAGGAAGCTTTGTTTAAAATTATAGTTTTATTTAGTTAAAAGTTTTACAGTCACTCTTTGTCAGGCGGGTTGAAAAATATGCAGTGTAATCCTTCAGCTGCGCAGGTTTTGCCACGCGCCTCCTCCTGTCCTCCCAACGGGCAATGTAGAAGCAATCTGCACATGCGTCTGACCGAACCTGAAACTTACCACCTGTGTATGTTGACCTGCGTCAAGACTAAGTCCTTGACAGATGTGGTGGAGAGAAGCCGGTGATTTTCAAAAAAAAAGTTTTTTGTTTTTTTTCCGTGCGGCCCAGTATGAATTGACCCCCGGCCGCGGACCGGTGGTTGGGGACCACTGCCCTAGATAACTTACCATGGCGGGGCGCTCTTCTTGTCCGTGCTTTTTGTCGGGGGGTGAGACGGACGGAGACACGTCCTAAGCTGCGCAGCGCGCTGTTTAAACCAACAGTTTTGGGTGTCGGGGAGACGGACACACATCTGAGCCGTGCGCTGTTTGTACCGAAAGTTTTCGAGTGGCTGGGGTGCGTTCAGCGTGAGGGTTCACCATGAAGGAAGAGGCTGCCTTTGGCTTTTTAGCTAGCACACCTGCATTGCGAGCCGCTAGTTTAGAGTTACGTCAGTGCCGACAGGTGGGGGGGCGGGGTTTGGTTGACTGCGCTCTTGGTTCTGTTGACGGGACGGGGCGCCCTGCTTGTATAATGGTAGGGGAAACATTGCTTGTATATTCATTTGTTACATACAGACTGATATATTTCAAATGTTTGTTTCTTTTAATGTTGATGTTTATAACTGACAATTAATCAACTGACAAACCGGCGACCTCCATTTGTCCTGAAGTGAACGCCCCTCACCTGCAAAGCTGCAGCGGTTTCGCATGACGAACGCTTTGCAGTCATTTCAAAAATGAGTTTACATCTTTTGTTTAACGTTAATCTACTGTAATAAACCTTTTGTAAAATACACCAGAATGCAGTAAATGGCATCTAAAAACAAAAAAGGTTGAATCATGTCATCTGGACTTCGTTTTTTTCTTTGTTAAAAAGAAACGTTTCGCCCCTCATCCAAGAGGCTTCGTCAG